TGTGTGTGTGTGTGTGTGTGTGTGTGTGTGTGTGTGTGTGTTGTGTGGTGGTGTGTGTTGTTGTGGTGGTGTGTGTGTGTGTGTGTGTGTGTGTGTGTGTGTGTGTTGTGTGTGTGTGTGTGTGTGTGTGTGTGTGTGTGTGTGTGTGTTGTGTGTTGTGTGTGTGTGTGGTGTGTGTGTGTGTGTGTGTGTGTGTGTGTGTGTGTGTGATGTGTGTGTGTGTGTGTGTGTGTGTGTGGTAGTGTGTGTGTGTGTGTGTGTGTGTGGGTGTGTGTGTGTGTGTGGTGTGTAGTGTGTGTGTGTGGTGTGTGTGTGTGTGTGTGTGTGTACGTGTACGTGAATACTTGACTCTTTAGCTGCAGGCAACTGCGTTTGTGCGAGAAACACCGGCTGTTGTTATGCCTGCTGTGACGTCAAGTTACTCCGTTCTCCGCTTGTAATTATGCCGAAGCTTCAAAGTTGTATTTATCATCTGAATTTGCTGAAACAAGTTTAATATTCTGAAAGCCAAGACTTAGTTTAATTGAAATCAGATGAAAACAAACTGTAACGGACCCTGCCGTGTTATCTATGATTACTCTACGCCTACATTCATAATGTCAGCGGAGGGAGGGGGGGCGGCGCTGAGGAACAGCAGAGTGGCGAGTGAGAGCTGTCTTCGTCCCTTCACAAGCTTCAAACATGTATTTATCGTGTGATTTTGGAAATAAAAGTTTCATATTCTGAAAGCCAAGACTTTGTTTATTTGAAATCAAACAAAACACCGAACCCCGAAAAAACTTTTTATTACGCGAATCCACGTTTATTTTGAAATGAACCGTTGCGACTTCCGACTGATTTCGATAGAGCGGGTCACATACTGTTGTGCAGACATCAGGACTATCACTCATCTTTGCCATGTTTTGTCATGACTTCTCTCCAGGTGTTACGGATGATGGTGGGTGTGAATATCTCTGATGAGCAGCTGGGCAGCATCGCTGACAGGACCATTCAGGAGGCGGACACCAACGGAGACAACTCCATCTCCTTCAACGAGTTCATCAAGGCACGTTTCAGACATCTCTTTATACTAAGAGCTTTAGATCTAGTAATACGTTCTCAAATAAGAGCAAATATAGAACTTCTATTGAAACTATAAGGAAGAAAAGTTTACAAGAAATGTAAATATCCAAAAAACAACATGACAAATTGCTCGGAAAAGAAAAAGTTTTCATTGCATCCATAGAAATGTTTCTGCTCTCGATTGCTGCACACAGATGGTATATGACGTAACGGCACCATACATTACAGTTGATATAAACACAGTGACAAAGCAATCTTTACAAAACTATTATCCTTGTTAAGTTACTATGAAAAGACAAGATGCACAACATTTACAAGAACATTTAAAATCATCTAAGCCCTGGTTTTATTTTGGTTTGAACAAATGCTAACAAGTTGGTTCAAATGTATTTATTGAAACTGATTCCACATACTGTTTCATTCCCAGAGTGAATGTTTAATGTTCTATCAGGGGGTCCGCGGGGTCTTAAAGAGTATTAAAAGTTGATCAATGAATTTAGCGAAAATGAAGGCTATTAAAAAGTATTAAAGGGCATTTCCCAAGGTATTAAATGTTGTAGCTTGTTTCCAATAAGTATATAAATGGTCCAAAGAGGTTGTGTTCTACAGTCTGCCTGAATGTAATCATGGCGTAGGTGTGTAGTGTGATTCTGTAGTTTATTGATGGCATCCCGTTGGATTAGACGTCATCTGAACAGGACATCGCACGCTCACTGCTTGATAGCGCAAAGCTCCGTTTACGCCGGTTGCTAAGCAACATCGTTATGGGGAAATGCAAGTCTGCGTCCAAATGGTTGGAAGATAAGGAGGAAGGACAATCAATGCTGTATATAGTCAATGTGAGTGTGTCGCCAAGGTAACCGGTTAAAACTCAAAGTGGCGATGAGGTCTTAAAATGTATGGGAAGGGTCTTAAAAAAGGTCTTAAAAGGTTTTACATGTGACTTCAGGATTCCTGCTTACACCCTGTCTGTGTTTGAGTTAATACTTAACAGGCAGTGTGAGCTCAGTTTCAACCTGTCTGTGTCGATCAAACATTACAGAAATATTTACTAACTTGTTCCGTTGTCTTTCCTCAGGTGTTGGAGAAAGTGGATGTGGAACAGAAAATGAGCATCCGGTTCCTGCACTAAACAGCTGATGTTTTTTTGTTTTGTTTTTTTAAATTGAGTAGAGCTTCAACATGCGAGTTGGAGCCCGAACTCACAGCGGGCCACACTACGAGAACACGCTGTTGCCGGGTAGATCACCTCATAGATCCTGTACACAAAGGGAAGAGTCGCGTGCCTTGGGTTGTTTTATGCAATGTCACTGTGTTGTTTGGAACATTATTTATTAGGAAACATTTAGAGGGTTCCACTTTCCACAGGAGGATTTATGTTCTAGCTCGGTACGATAACGCGTTCAATAGCTAGTACATGTTGTGTCTTTGTCTCTATACTTATGCAATGGATTAACGTGTAAGATGTGTGATTCCTCGTGGAAACAGGTTTTAAATGCTAACATGACTCCTTAATATCGCCGACAGCTCTGAGTTCGTTACTCGATTTAAAGCTGAACGCACACTTTGTGTTTCACTCACGGAAGTGCCATGGCTTCATTATCTCAACAGTGAACCCTTATGGCCATGTTTGTGTATTTGTTTTTCATAATCTAGCTACTGCCAATAGATTGTAATTACCTGTAGGATTGAACCAAAGTGAGTTCCACGCTATTTCAACGCCTGCTGGAGCTAGGACATGTGTTTAATGTCATCAGTAATGAACTCTGTTATAGCGTGTCTTCCCTAATATATCTTTAAATTGGTATTACCAGATTTAGCTGCCACTGTGGCCTGATTTTTTTTAAAAAGTGTTACCCCGTGTTTGAGTCGTCTGAAAGCCCTGTGGTGGAGAGTGGGAGGTTAGATTTAACACTTAAAACCAGTAAATCCACAATGGTGCATCACGCTTCCATTAATGTGATCAGCTGCTATGGGAAAGATGTATCACCAGGAACAGCGGTGACAAGATCTTCTTATTTTTCCCTTTTGTTTGGTTGCTGATGCGGTGTCTAAATGTGTGTTGACGTTCAAACTGCTTCAACATTCATTTGATTTCTCCATTTCTCAGTTCCAGCTGCTTTAGAGAATCAGATGCTTTAATAATATATATTTTCTGTACAGGCTAAGTGTGACATTATAATCTTTGTTTGTCAAATCCTCACCCTGCAGCAGCCGACTGCAGGAAATACGACTTGTTAATCATGTGATTATCGATCAGATATGATTCACGTGTTGCGTGATGTTGGTATTATCTCAGTAATTCATCCATTTTTGATTTGAATAAAATTAAGTGCCATGCTCGCTTTGTGTCTATTTTACCTTCTGTGTCTGGTTTTAACATTTTCCTTTATTTTGGACACTTATTTATCTCAAACAAGTGGTTTTTGGTGCTTCAATAAATGTATAAAATATATAAACATACATGTACTGTGTGAGATGTTATACTTTAAAGGTCCCATGTCATGCTTTTCTGGTTATCACCCGTCCCCTTGTGTTATGAAGGTTTTTCTGCATGTAAACGGTCTGCAGGGTCACAAACCCTCAAAGTACACCCTGTAGCGAGTAAAACTCTAACACAGAGAAGACCTGTCTGTGCTGCCCCAGAACACTCGTTGGACATTTCTCTTTTCCTTTGTTTACTTCCTGGGTCCCGGTTCTGTGACGTGTGAATACCCAAATCAACAACAAATGACCGGATTGGCCCAAATGGACCAATCCGCGGAGCACCTCACACACCAGGATCCCTGAGCTCCCTGGTTGGTAATAGACGAGTTGGGATCGTGGAGAAATGCTCTCCGCAGACCCATTCTCACAGCGTTATAAACCTTTTTCTTACTCAATATCAAGCCACACTTATTGTTTTTACTTCGGCTGTGAGCGTTGTGTGTGCTCAGGATGAGTTTCGCTGTGTCTCGCTGTATCGCCGACCCGGAAACCTGTCCGCTCCTCGCAGCAGCGAGCCTCGCAACGTCCCGACCAATCAGAGCACACTGGGCTCACAGGGAGGAGGGGGAGAGATCCAGCAAGCCGTTTAGGACAGAGAGTGAATACACATACTATATACAGAGATGCTGTGTGAGAAACCAATGTGTAGACCTCAACAATGGAAATATGATCAGTAGAAATGGCCATGTCATGGGACCTTTAACTAACCATGCATGTCTTTATTAATACATTGTTTTTTTGATTAATTGTAATTTTGTCTGTAACATGTAAAAATGTCACTTCCAGTTTAAGTCTAAAAGTCCAAGGTGATGTCTTTAAGTGTCCGAAGATATTCACTTTAATATGATATAAAACATAAAATCAACAAAACTCCATATTTTATACAAATATAATATTTGTATTTACCAGGCGATTAAAACATGTAAGAGTTTTCAATAAAAAACAGCTAAATGTACCCAAAAATATTCATATAAAATAGAAGGTGGACTAAAATCCAATAGAAAGAGGTGTGTCCTAATTGTCCCTGATTTTGAGTCATTAGGTCACATGACATTCACACACATTCATTTGTGTTATAAAACCGCTGTATTCATCTGCCTGTATTGTTTTGTGTTCATTTGTTGTAACATTGTTCGTGATGCCCTCTCCGCCAGGTCGCTCTTTTGATTTTAATCGCTCTTTGATCTCAATGAGACTTTTACCTAATTAAATAAAGGATATAGGCCCATGACATGGAAGCTAGTGAAGACAAGACTATACACATTTTAAAACCAGTATTCATGTAAAAAGAAAAAAAGCCCGTGTGTTATACTCTTCTTTAAACACTAGAAAAATCACAGATGGATGCATTTAAAATAAAATAATAAATTAAAAAAACAGAATGAAAAGGAAGAAGTACATCCGGGGCGGGCTTTCCTTTTTGATTGACAGGTCTGCGGACCAATCCCCGCGCACTCCCGTCCCGTTGTCTCGTAGTGGAGCAGCAAACATGGCGTAGAGCGGAGAGTCTGCAGAGACGCGGCCGAGGAGAGCTTCTCCTCTCCGGGGTGAAAGGAGGGAGGAAAGAGGCCCTGACCGACGGTTTTTTAACCGTGAAATCTTCTCTGAATATTCCCTCACTTCGCACGGCTTCTATCCACGCAGTTTGACCCGGTAACACGTCCGGTTCTGGAGACCTGGATGTGTGACCGTAGAAGAAGAAAGGCTTTGTTTACCTGCTGCAGATGAAACACCTGCATCATCACACCAAGGTCAGTGCTGCGAACCATGACATCAGCTCTAAATCAAACATTTCTGCAGGTGGTTTCTCATTTAAGGACGTGGCAATGTATTTCACAAGGGATGCATTGAATATAGGGCTATTTTATGATTTTTTAAAGACATAAAAATAAGTCTTATGTCTACATTTTTTGGAAACTAGCTCTGAAAATCATTTAAATTACATTACATGTTACTTGTTAGACGCTTTTATCCAAAGTGACTTACATACTCAATACTGTGGACAATCCCCACAGGAGCACTTTGGGGTGAAGTGTCTCAGGGACACAACGACATGCTGACTGCAGTGGGGTTTGAACCTGTGCCCCCCTGATCCGAACACCAACGCACTACTCCACTGCACCACACGCCTCCAAATCAGCTCTGACCTAAGCATGTCTGCAGGTGTTTTCTCATTCAGGGACTCAGGGTTGCATTGAATATGGTACTATTTAATGATTTTTAAGCCACACAAATTAACATTGTGTCTCCATTTGTTGTGTAACTATGTAGAAAATGATTGATAGGTATATGCAAGGTGTGTATTTTATGTTACTGTAATTATTTCCTGTAACTGTTCTTCACATTCCTTTGCAATATAATGCATCTTTCTGTATCTGTTGTGTAAAACAGAATAACCATTGTGACAAGTTTTTGAAAATGGAATAAAAATAAAACTTCTAATTTACTGGACTACTCCAAAACAGACACAATTGAGTAATACATAAACAGTATGTAATACAGGCTGTGCAAATGGAAGAGCAGAAAGGGAAACCCAAATGGGTCAGTTAAGTAAATTAAATAGAAAAGTAAATGCCAACAATATTCACTTTACAATCGTTTCTTTAATGTGTATCTATATTGGTTTCTGTGTTTACATGTATTTGTTTTTGGACTGTTAGTTTGATGAAACAAGACTTGAAGATATTGTCTTGGACTTGAAGCCCTCTGGTGTTACGCCCCTTTCCTTTCAGATGGGGAGAAATGATCACAAGAGTGAAAATGGCGTTTCTTCACGATGACATTTACTCAAGTGTTTTGCATCAAATGACAATCAAATACAAAATAGCAATTCACAGAAATTGTACAAAAACATACAAACATGAGATTTCCTTTTTGAAGTATAAAAGATAACCTTTTTACATAAACACTTTCCCAATGTTAATTAATCCCAAATGTTTAATAATAAATAATCGAGACGTTCTGTGTGGATTTCTATTCTAGGATGGCCTCTCCAGAGCAAGCAGCTGAAACCCAGGACTGGAGGAACGTCTCGTGTAAAAGCAGCTCCATCAGCAGACCCCGGCCCTTCAGACCTGAGGAGGGACTTTTGGACATAGGTGCCCTCTTTCCTGCTGCCGCTGGGACATTGGCCTTCTCTCCTCCGACCCCAAAGCCTCTGTGCCAGCCTGGTTCTGCAGAATGATGACCAGGACATCTGCTGAGAGTCTGGGATCCCATCATGCACTCTGTGTGCGTCTACATGCAGCTAAATGCTGGCTTTACAGTCGCTAAATTACCTGAAATTCTCCATCATTTGGGAATTCCCTGTCAGATTTGGCTGCGTGTAGACGTCGTCACTGATGCCTCCTTCCTCAGAGTAAAGACACAAGATACTGTAGCAAAGATCAAGGCCTGTGATTATCTCAGACTCATAAGAGGTTTTTATTTCATTTTTGTACGCTACCTCATCGCCACAGCTAGTCCAGCAGTGTGATCAGTACGAGCATCCTGACGGCCGTCCAGCAGATTCACACTTTGTTCCTGGATTCATTTACTTTAAGGGAGGTTGTTGGCAGACGTAATTTACTTTAACTTCTTCAAACATTTGAAGGAAATCTCTCAAACTGTGGTCTCCCTATGCATCTGTTTTACTCCACGCTCTGATGTTAAAGTAAAGTCTGCAGGTGAATTAAGAAATGTAAGGGACAGATTTGGCGGTTCTCCCCTTGTGAGCTAACCCTGGATATCCCATACGCAGTTTTAAGAGATAGACTTCTATTATGAAAGACACCATTTCCTTCCTTATTCATTTCCACATTTGGTCTTTCAGGCCTCCTTATAAAATCATTTAAAATGCAAATAAGTTCATTCATCAAAAGAAATGAAGATTTTGTGTTAAAATGTCTTTAAAAAAAATCATTTAAAATTGTAAACAAAGAGCTCAAACATGAGAAGCATCAATTGTTCTTTTCTCATAATCTCCTAATAATAAGAAACATCATCTTTAGGTCACGCAGATCAAAATAGCAGAAAATATGGATTTATAATTAGTCTAAAAATGTAATTTGGAGCATTAAAAGTAGTCGAACTTGCTTTAATATGTAGACTCTTTCACATGTTATTATTTTGTCTTATCGTGGATATGTCCCCATATTTGTACATCACCATGAGCTCTCGTATAGGACTTGTAGAAACAGGAAATGCTCTACAGAAAGAGACAGAATATAATCCCTTTTCTTTGACACACAATAATAGAGTGAATCTGACGTCTCAAACATCACGTCCAGTAAGCAGAGAGACACTTCTCCTAAAGAACATTCCTCGTTTTTATATAAAAAAAGACAAAAAAAATATTTCCGGGATTTGTGCAATATTGATCCTAACTGTCATGTTGTTGACCAAACTGTATATTGTAAACAAAACAAGTGACGAGTTGTTTGAAAGCAACAAAATTACCAATGTCTTCCATTAAGATTTGTACAAAGTCACGTGCATTCGCTTCTCTAGCGGTGCGGACATTATCGTAGCCGTGCATGACCCGTAGTGACGCTCGCTTCGTGGAGAATCAACCTCAACGTGGAGAGTAAAACTAAGAAACCTTTTAAATATGCCACATCTAGCTAAAATCTTACACTCACGCAAGTCGACTTGGTGATATGCAGTTAATACATATTGATTTAGGTTGTAAATGCTCCATACAACAAGTGCTTTCTATCAGAACTGCTGTAGGAGTCATCATGCACTCTCAAGCGTTAAGAAGAAATGGGTATTTGTTACGCAACAGCCACAAATCTCCTTAAAACGAGTCCCTGGTGTGGTAGAGAAATGTTGGATTTGGATGTAATCGTTTTAATCATCATGACATGTTATTGTACATAATACCTCATAGTTTCGGGATTCAGAGCGAGATATTTTAATCCATACAATTGTATTTGATTATAGGTTTTAGAAGCAATAACCTACAATAATGCATGAGTTTAGTGCCAGGGTGTACGTGTTAAAGGAGTCTGTAATGCCCCCCCTCCTTCTATTAGTCACTTCTTTTTTATTACAGGGGAGTTGTATAATATCTGGCTTTAGAATACAGTATCGCTAATGAAGGTCTGGGATACTTCCTGCAGAGCAAGTGAGGATAGATGTAGCATCCTTTATTACAGACCTATATTTTTTTAACACCAAAATCAGATGCTTTTAAAGAGGCCCTATTGTGCTTTATTGTTCACCTCTACTGTGACAGCCCAGTCTGCTCTGATTGGTTAGCTGGCCGGCTCTGTTGTGATTGGTCAACCTGCTTAGAGATGTCCCGCCTCTTAACCCATCACGTACACTGGGTGTTTCTCAATGTCGAGTAAAGCTGCGCCATTTCAAGCATACTACGTCATCGAGTGCCGCCGAAGGACTGTTTCAATGTCCAGGCTCCTTGGAATTCTACCGAGCCCGGCGTCCTTCGTTTGGAGAAATGTCGAGGCTGCACATGTGTAGACTCCACGGTCTTAAAATCCCCACAATGCTTTGCGCACGGACCAATTTCCCCAAATCTGTGGCGGAAAATGTAAGGCGAGGCCTCTCATATGACGCACACCTGCACACTTGCTAGCCTATTCCACTCTTAGTTTTCCGAATGCCAGGAAGGATTCTTGCCTAGCTTCTGAAGGAAGTGACTCAGAAGACATGTGCTACCAAGCAAGCGTACTCGACATTGAGAAACACCCTGCGTCTGAAACCAGAGCCCAGTCTGCTCTGATGGGTTAGCTGGCCGGCTTTGTGATTGGTCAACCTGCTTAGAGATGTCCCGCCTCTTAACCTATCACGTACAATGTGTTGGAGCGCCAATAGGAGCGTGAGGGTTATGTAGTGATGTCACTAAGTTAGGGAAGTAAACAAAGGAGTCCAATGGAGACACTAAAACCTACACCACACTACGGTGAAGAGCATAATAGGCCCTCTTTAATTATAAATCGTGTAGCATTTTTTACATCTACAAACCCTTCTTTTCAGTACCTGTGGCTGCAGAGGTTTTACTGACTGAACTTGAAAAGCACTTTCTCTCGACTTGCACTGTCATCATCCTGTCTGGAATACTGTGTTCTAAAAAATAACGCTGTCTGTGGGGGATTTATAATCACACTTTATAAACAAGTAGGTGTCTAGAAAGCTGAGTATGTGGGGTTTAAACATATGCATGACTTAGAATAACGAATGATTTGTATTGCATGCAATAATCCGACTCTGTAATGTGGAACGAGTGTAACGAGGCGTCTGCGATGTTCTGTGAAAAAGAGACAAACCTGGGGACGGTTGTTTGACACAACAGCATGTGGAAGAAGCTTTTTACAGACTGAACTGCAACCAAAAAACTGAAGATATACCTTATAACCTCTAACATATAACACTCTGTCTCTGTTGTGTCAAACAGGACCACAGCAGCTGGAAACGCGGCTCAGCCTTCGTTCCCATGAGAAAAAAAACGAAAGTATGATTATCGATGACATTACTTGGAAACTATGCACTCCAGAGGGAGGAAATGGGCATGCTTGTTACATGTGAGCCTTTTATCTGGTTTTGTATGAATAAAAAAAAAAAATCTATCAGAAATTCAGGCAATAAAATGCAGCATGGTGCCAACGGGATGTCTGCGTGTCCATGATTACGAACGGGGACAGAAAACATATTATAGTATGTTGTAGGAGAGCATTTTCTACATTGAAAACTGTATGCTGTAAAACTTCAATGTATTTTGAGTTATATTTCAAAAGTGTTCGGGGGAAGAGGGTTATTCAATTTCTCATGAGAGTTTGTGTAATCTATAATATCGTCTACATACTCATAAGCAGGGGCCGGTGTTTTGGCATAGGCGACATAGGCAGTCGCCTAGGGCGCCAGATCTGGGGGGGGGGGGCGCTGCTCTGGGAGGGAAAAAAAAGTTTGACCGTTGGTGCTCATCCTATTTCGGCCTTGATGTAAACAACATTCATAATTAAGTAAATGTAAACACCCTTTTCATCACCCGGTTACACGTTTCATTTGCCCTGTACGATGGGCGCTGTAAGTGAGGAAAGTGGGGGATGTTGGCTTATCTCTGGCCGCCCACAGCCAAAAGTGCGAGTGAGCATCGGAGCGAGCGAGGGAGAGGGTGCAACCGGTACCGGCGCTGTTGTTATTAGCATCTGGTGCTAGCTGCTGTTTCTACAACAAGGGTGGAGGCTCAGTGAGGTAAAGGACTCTTGAGTGTTAGATAGTTCACTTTAGTTAGTCTCAGTGGGTCTCAAACGTTTTGATCACAATTTATGTAAATACATATTTCCAAGGCACTCCTTTATTATTATTGGGATAAACAGGTTTGAAATCATTTCAATGTATACTATAGGACAGTAACCAAAATATCGTTTAAAACTGGAGATGAAAACAATTGCATAAATGTTAACTAGGTAAAATAAGATATGAAAGAACAATAAAATAAGTTGCATTTATTTGTTATTGGCTGTGGTAGGTTATTGGTTATGTTCACATACTTATTTGATTATTAAAATGTAAACCGAGTCTTTTTCATATGGGTGTTTTAGAGTTGTACCCCCTAGACGCCAGCAAAAATCTCACCTAGGGCAGCAAATTGTCTAGAACCGGCCCTGGCCATAAGGCTTAGTATTGACCTAGCCAGGAGGCAGTTAGCTTAGCTTAGCTATAAAATACTGAGAGAAGGGGTATTTTAGGGTAAAAAACAACAATTAAAAACCCAAATAAACATGAATTATTACATTGCATGCTGTGTGATAAACCCCTTTAAAGAAATGAAAGTGATGGTGTTTTTATTACAGGACAGAATGTACAACAAAGATACAGACAAACATAAGACAGATGCTATCTATAGCACATTTGAAAGAAAGTGAACATTTGTGAAATATGAAGATTTTTTTTTAAAAAGCATGTACACAATCTAGGATGATATACAATTAATGAAATCTTTGATGCAAATGCATATATGTATTGTTTGTGCAGTCCCAAATAGATTAAAAGAGATCAAAATATCAGACAGCAAGGAATGTGTGATTGTTGAACTACAATACCCACAATGCATCTGCAGCATACACAATCTATGATCTGCAGAGAATTCATTAAATGAGTGAGCAAGGCTGAGGGGAAGATATTGGAGAACAGATTGAAAAGCAAACGTGAACCCCAGCCTGCGACCTCTAGCTGACAGAAGCAATGCTGTCGACCAGTCTGCTCTTAATGTGTGAGATCCGATCCAACTGCGCTTCAAACTGCTGCTGCGTCTGCGATAAAACAGATTTGTGTTATCAGTAGAAGACACTTGCTTTTGTCTAGCCTGGATTTCCTTTACACAACAGTCCTTTGCTGCACCTTAAAACATTGATGGTGGTGATGAACAAAAAACACTCAGCTTTAAACCTCAATTAACCTTTTTAACAACATACTCTTCAACAGTATACAAATTGTCTTTTAAAAAAGGACATGTCACTTTTAAGTCCTTTTTAAATGATATTTACCAGTTTCAAGTTACCACATCTTGCAAGTATATAACCTATACAACCTCTGGTCTAGGCTGAGGTTAAAGGTAGGGTAAGATTGGAGAAACCAGCTCGAGTGCGCTAGAATGTGAAAGTACGCAGCCGAAAAAAATCTGCCCCTTCCTTCAGACTTCCTCACAGAGCCCCTCCCCCAACACACACGAACGCGCACATGACCAATGAGGGCACGAGATAAGTTTGTGCACAGATGGAAGGCTGACAGGCAGGTAGGCCATCCAGTTACTTTAGCCGGGCCGGCTCAGATGATTGGGTCGTTGCTTTTTACAGCGCCACGGCTTCCACAGATGATATTTTTTTAATGTATTTATTGTCAAAGCATTTAATGTATTTATTGCTATCGGAATGTTAAGAGCATTCCATGGAATATAACAACAAGTGTTTCTGAAGTGAGATACCTACCCCACCTTTAAGTCCTGGGATTTTACATGCAGACAAACATTTTGACTCTCACCTCATTCATGCTCTCTCTGAGGGGCTTCATGTCGAATGTAAGAGTGGAGGCTTTCACCATCGAGCGGCGATTCAGGATGTAACTGCAGAGGAAAGACAGGACAGGGGAGTTTTGAATGAGCAAGTGAAATCAGTCCTTATGGGGATGCATGTTTACTCAAATATAAAACCAAGATCATGATTTTGGCAATCCCCACAATTAAATGTACATTATCGACCGTGCGCTAATGGTGTTCCTGAAGGTAAAGGTAGTAAAGTAAACACAAGCCGAATTCAGGTAAACAACAGCCCTATTTTAGGTCTGATTTGAATGCAAATAGTTATAGTTACACACATGGAAGTGAAAGCAATAATGAATAGTTATAGTTATCACAACATAACGTGCAGCCCCTAATGTCCAAAAGACACACAATTGAGCAGAAATGGGTCTGTGTTTCGTCTCTAACCTGACCTTTAAAAACGCAGAGCATGCAATGGACAACAGGTGTTTTATTTGAGACAGCAGTAAACACAGAAGTCAATATGCTCACCAGCTGATGTTCTTTTTTTGGAGCAGGAACATGGAGCGAACAGCACCGAGAGGGGGGGGAGCAGAGTGGATCACTGAACCCACAGCGGAGCCGCAGCCACCACATTTCAGAGAGCTGGAGATGATGAAAGCAAACAAACAGCTGTGAAAACATCCAGGAAACTGGAAGATAGGAAAACAACATCCAGGTTTTTTTATATGTACTCACCCACCTCGCCATTTCCCCTTTATATCCTGACTTCATCGCATCACTGACCACCACGTCGTCGGTCACGCCTGAAGGTTCACGAGCAGACAAATGTGGATTAATGTTTATATAACAGGGAGAGCACAGTGAACCTGAAAAACACACATTAAAAGCAGGAAAGGTTTGTTTTTGTCTTTTTATAAAATACGTTGTATACATAGAAGGTAGGTTAGAAGTGATTTAAGTTAAAGTAACTCATTAAAGAGTTAGAACAAATACATTTAAATGTAAAACAACATTAATACATTAAATACCAAAAAAGACGTGAGTACTTCTACTTTTGTACAAGATCTGAGTGCTTCTACTTTGACTCAAGTACCACTACCAGATATGAATACTTCTCCCCCCTCTGATTTGGAGTATAGATAGATAGTGAACTTACTCAAACACACGATAGAGTCCACACACTCCCCACACGCACTGAAGGAGTCCCCCCAGCACGGTGCTGCACTGCAGACAGTGGAGAGTCATCCTCTGTGTGTGTCCGTCCTCTGCACACATCTCATCTGCACGGGCGATTAAAAGAGTGCCATTAAACTCCATCTGTATTCCCTTTTATAGATCCCTTGTTGTCCCGCTTGTGGATTTGAACCAAAAACAACCCGTCTTCTTCTTTGGTTTTTAGAGGCGGTACCTTGCATTACCGCCTACTACTGGTGATAAAACTAACTCCTCCAAAAAAAAGCTGTTTAAAACCTTTTATTTGTATGTTATTCAAGAACACAATTTATTTTGTATACAAAAAAATTGAGTGGTGGACATATAAAGCAATACAAACATTTAAATAAATAAATAAAAATACAGTTTTATATTTCACACGAGTGGCTGATTGGCTGCGAGGCACATCCGGTTACACACGGGAGCCAATCAAAACGGCGTTGAGTAGTTGCCAACTAAACCAAAACATGAGAGAAAACGCCGATTTACTGGCAATAATCATCTGTAAAAATGTAAATAAGAAACCTTAGCCTTAAAAAACAATTGTTAAATTATTTTAAACGTTGAAAAATTAGACCAACCGTTAATCGATGAACGGATAAAATAATGTCAAAGATGTTCCTTCTCTCTGATTGGCTGTGAGGCACATCCGGTCACACAGCCAATTAAAACGGCTCCTCCCGCTGTGTTTTGAATCGCAGTATGTTTAACCGTCAGCTCCTCCACACATCCTTCAGAAACTTAACGTGTGTGTTGGGTTTTCTCTTATATTACGGAATAGAATATAACAAAAACATGGATTTGGACTCTATGAAATATGCGGAGCTGAGAATCACCGCTAAGGAGCTCGGGCTTAAAGGGAATATGAAAGGTAATGGAGTTGTAATGTTTACATTAAATCAGAAATAGATGTTTTTTTTCAACTGTGTTAAGGCTAACGGTTACTGGAAGCTAACGTCTGCATGTGTGCACCTGGGCGAAATGTACTCAATAACATTACGTTTCTTTCTGCTAAAACAGGCTGAAAAACTCCTGAAAGCGATCAAGCAGCATTATCGTCAAGAAAAGGACAAAGAGGAGGAAGTGCAGGTAATTTAAACCTGACACATGACACTGTTTTATTGCTAAATCTGTCTTAAATCATGTCCTTTTTTATTTAAACATCGTACATAGTCCTATATTGTTCTCACATCGTACCTAATTTCATTTAAATGTAATACAACTGCAACTAATTTGCACACTCGTGCCGTGTATAAAGTATCCTTTGTTTATATGTTTAGTAGTAGGTCAATTTTTTTATAATGTACACTGCGACTTTTCCTGTTTCTTTATATTGTACGAGTATATATCTATAGATATATCTTTCTACTGTTTATATATATGTATGTAAAAATCTGCAAATACTTTTTGGTCTTACGTTTGGTTTATAATAGTGTTTGGTAACTTATTTTGTACATAGAGTATCTATTGATATACATTATGCTTTCTACTGTTTTGTTTTTTTAACTCATGTACATGTCTTGTTAACATTCTGCTTTAAAAATGTCCCAATTTGCGACCCACAAAAATCTTAATATGTATTGTACTCATTGTTTGTTGTATTATTCTGGTGTTTTTCAGGAGCAGGAGAAAGATGTCCTGCTGCTGCTGCTGAAGAAGATGAAGCTGTGACACAGGACAGTGTTCAGGATGATGAAGAGTCAGCGTGTGAGGGAAGAGGTTCCCTGCCCCACTGTGTTTGTGAACACACGTCGGGGCAAAGGAAACGGTAACCAAGAGAAAACTCGTGTGTGAGGACAAGTCACCTCCAAGTGACGCCCAGGTATTTCACACCATTACCTACTCATGCACACATGTATAGATATCATTGTTTGGGCAGATTTGTTGAATAGAATATGAAATGGTAAATACTCTGGCACTGACAGGATATTTTCGACCCCTCGAAGTGGCTTTAAATACTCTGAATCATCCCCCCATTCACACCTCATTATGCAGAGCAGTACCACTTGCTCTACTTTGCCTCAGTGCCACAGGGGGTCCGCGGGGTCTTAAAAAGTGTTAAAAGTTGATAAATCAATTTAGCGAAAATGAAGGCTATTAAAAATATTAAACGGCATTTTCCAAGGTATTACATTTTGTAGCTTGTTTTCAATAAGTATATAAATGGTCCAAAGAGGTTGTATTCTACAGTCTGCCTGAATGTAATCATGGCGTAGGTGTGTAGTGTGATTCTGTAGTTTATTGATGGCATCCCGTTGGACTTGACGTCATCTGAACAGGACATCGCACGCTCACTGCTTGATAGCGCGAAGCTCCGTTTACGCCGGTTGCTAAGCAACATCGTTATGGGGAAATGCAAGTGTGTGTCCAAATGGTTGGAAGATAAGGAGGAAGGACAATCAATACTGTATATAGTCAATGTGAGGTGGAGTGTGTCGCCAAGGTAACCGGTTAAAACTCCAAATGGCGATGAGGTCTTAAAATGTATGGAAAGGGTCTTAAAAGGTCTTACATTTGACTTCAGGATTCCTGCATATACCCTGTACCAGTACTTTTTGCATTCGGGAGGATTACAAATTGTTGTTGTTCCTTTCAAAGGTTGACACTGATGTGGCTTCATCTGCTGCACCCTGTGGGGCTCGGGGGGCTAAGAAGAGGAAAGTGTCCTCTGCCAAGGACTCTGAACAAAGTGAGACCGCGCCTCCTCAGGAGCCCCAGACCTCTGAGGGTTAAAGCCGCTGTGCATGATAACACGGGTCAGTAGTTACATATTTTTACTGTTAAATTATGTTTGCATTGAATAGCATGTTCCCTCTGACAGACAGAAGCAACATGTCCGTTTGTCTTCAGAGATTCTTGACTCCAAATCAGGTTGTGAACACACACTAATCCTTTATTTGACTTATGTAATATCTGTACAGAAAAAGCTCCGAAAGTGGCCAAAGTCGGTAAAATCCCTCGACTGCAGGCTAAGAAAAAGCTGATGTTGAACCCTGTCACTCCTAGTAAGTACTTTTTTCCTCCTCTCTTCTTTTGAAGCAACAATTCAGGGCCACATAACAGAAAGACAGTGATTCCCCCCCCCCCCCACAAACCCTCCAGTTAACTTTTGTAAATGTCTCTTCTTCTTTTTAGACTTCAAGAAACTCCACGAGGCAAATTTCAGCAAGATGGAGTCCATTGACTCTTATGTCCAGAGAAAAAACAAACAGACGGAGTCTCTTAGGAGCTCAAGCAAGGAACTGAAGGTACCTTCAAAATCAGACTTTGTTAATCATCCAGATCAACTTAAAGGACCCTGTCATGGCCATTTCTACTGATCATAATCCATTGTTGAGGTCGACTAGAATAGATTTACATTGTTCAATGTTCCAAACTCACATTGGTTTCTCACAGCATCTCTGTATAGTATGTGTATTCACTCTCTGTCCTAAACGGCTTGTTGGAGCTCCTGCCTCCTCCCTATGAGCCTACTGTGCTCTGATTGGTCTACCACTGTTACAGCGGAACATCAGTGATTATTTGTTGCAATGGCGTTTGTTAGCAACCAGAAAATGACACCAGTAATGACAAACAGACGAAAATGCTGCGTGGGGTCTGGGTGCGGGGCTCGAGGAGCGGACAGTGTGAGCGGTGTCGTTTCCTGGTTGCTGCGTGGGGTCTGCGAGACACCGCAGATCTCAGCCTGAGCACAGCCAGGCTGCCGTGATTGCACAGTACAGTTTGCATTGACATAGTTCATGCTATTTATTTATTTAATTGTATAAGTGTTCACCCCCATCTTGTCTGTTGCTTCCGGTCTCTGTGTTCCCTCCTGCTGATTACCTGATTGTGTTCACCTGGTGCTCTGTGTTTGCTCCTCCCCCCTCACCTGTGTGTTTGATTAGTCCTGGGTGTTTTCTGTTAGTCAGGGTGGTTGAGAACTGTGTGGGTGGTGGAGGGCCGCCATGTTGTCACAGTGGATGGAAAAAACCAACTCGGAAATGCTCGGGCATTCTCACACATGGGACCTTTAAATGTTTACCTGTTTGAGAACCTGCTATGTTGTTAATTGGTTTTGTTTTCAGACTCTGTCAGACAAAACTATACCGCAGCAAGTTGATGCCAAAACTAAAGTGGTGAGCATGACCTCCAGCTGCCAGTATATCACTTCCTGTGCAGTGAAGGTGCTCACCTGGGTGTGTTTATTCAACAGAAGGCGAGCGAGAGTCGCGCCTCCATGTTCAGCCCCATCCTGCCGAATAAGAAACCAGCGGAGGACAAACGCAGGAACACTGTGCTCTCTGCCAGTAAAGCCAAAGCTGCAGGGAAGGAAGCGGCTCTGTTCAGACCGTCTGTCCTCTCCACGCGCAGGATCAACGTTCGGTGAGGAGCTTTCTTTGGTCGTTGGGACAGAAATTATTACAAAAGCCAAAAACTGTTTATCATTTCAGGAACTTAAGCAAGTAGCTAGCTGTGTCTGGTGATGTTTAGACCTCTCAGACTCTCTCGTATGAATACATTGTTTGTTTCTGTAGTGTTTAATGTTATGCATACTACAATATAAGTACAATGCATACTTTTTCCAAAATAAGGTCACATGGAGGTCCCCCGGAAAGGGAGGGACTTCGCCTCTCTATTGGCAACAAGAAAGACTTTGAATTTAACAAATGTGACACGTGTGTTTGCAGGTTCTCAGAAGCCACTCGTGACAATGAGAATAAGAAATCTCTGGTGAAGACGCCGGCGCGCAGGACTCTCTGCGTGACCTCGAGCACGCCTAAAAAACCCACCACCGCTGAGGAGAGAAGCCCAAAGCCGGCAAGACTTTCTCTGCCACAAAACACTTCAGGTAACGTTGCCTTTAAATCCTTAACATTACATATAGTAATGTATAGAGTGATTGCTTTAACTTTTTCCTACTTAAATCCAAAGGAGCGTTTGTTTTCACGGGCAACACGAGTGCTTTGGTTACCCCCGGGAACCAGAAGAAGCCGACCTTTGACCTGAAGGCCAGTCTGTCTCGTGCCCTCGCCTACAAGCCCCACTCAGGTACAAAACCACTTTTAATTCCTTTCCTGTTTCCCTGAAAATACACTCTTGGGCTCCCCATAGTGACGGCCTGCTTTCGCTTCAAAGCTGCACAGTCTGCTATCAAAAGACCGGGGGGAGGCTGCACCTGGAGACAATCAGAGAGAGACGCACACACACAAGCACTAACTGCGGCATGTAACACTACTAGACAAACAAACCCCCCATGTTTTCTGTCACGGCTTTGAAATAGCTTTTTAAAACACGTTATTTTTTAAAGGTAAACTGAAGCCGCTCGGAGACGCCAACGAAAACCCGGCAGCAAACAAGTCGCTGATCTCAAACTCTCATCAGAAAAACTACAAACAGCACCAGGTCCAGACACGGTATGTTCAACATTAAAGCACACCCTGATATCAACACGTATCTCTTACGGCGTCAGTCTCTTACGAATGTTTGTGTTTTCCATATTTCAGGGGGGACAGGAGAGGGAAACACGAGGAAGGCAGGAAGCAGAAGAAAGAGAATCTGCTCGGGGCCAGAAGAGGCCTCGTCATGATGTGAAAAAAATATCCCGCTTGTTTGTATACGTTTTGTACAGCTTGTTGTCCACTGTAAATATTTAGTTTTCTGCAGCTCACGCTCCTTTTAGCCCGCTGTTAGGAAGCTCTAATCCTCTGCTTCTAGATTACCTAATGTGTTTCTGATCTGATGGCGTAGTTTACAGCTCTTAATGATGCTTTTATTAATTGACACCGTTGTACTTTTGTTCTTAAAAATTAGATTTGCCTTGTTTTATACATTCTTTTGGGAAACGACTGATAAAAGACTGATACTAATTATTCCCTTGTTTGCTTTGCAGAACCTTAATATGCACAAAAGCCTCTAGAACACACCCCAAAAAGCAGAATAGGCCCTCTTTATAACAAGATAAACAACTTGATTATTACTTTTAATTAACAAGATGGTGTCCTGTAATTGAAACATCCTAAATGTGCGTTTGATCTCTGTTATGACCTGGCTCAAAAGGCCACAACAAAGAGGACACCATATCAACAGTTTAACTAAATATGTTCATTAAAGCAAGTGGTTCAAATAGCCAAATGTAATCAAGTGCAAAACAAGTAAAGCATGAGGTGTGAACGTCAGTGGTATCAGTAATGTAACTGCAGGGTGAGGGTGTTGAGGTGCACAAAGTAAAACAACTGAAATAACATACTCAACCGAACCGGGTGCCTGTATGAGAAAGCAGCGGAGCAGAGGCTTTAAATATCTGCAGGGCACCAGACCCAGGTGCCCTGAGTTACTGCAATCAAGGCGCTGGATGCAGCACAGCCACACCCTCTCAAGATGAACCCACAGGGGCATCACAATCTCCTTTTTAAGAAGTCCTGGATTTATCACATTTGATTTATACTTATTTATGGATTTGAATAAGTTCTGTAGGTACAGTGTTACTGAAGGCCCGTCCACACGCAGGGGTGCCGTCAGGGATTTTGGGCCCCATGAAAAGATATCACTTTGGTTACTTAAACATTTTTTTCTTAATGTTCTAAAATAGTTTGGGCCCCTGTCAGTCACGGGCCCTTAAAATCGTCCTAACTTTTCACCCCCTTACGGCGCCCCTGTCCACACGGCGGCGTGCGCTATGGTTGAAGCTCACGCTTTGCTGAACTGCATTGTGGTTCCGTCGCTTCGCGTTGCTCGCTTCAAAAGTTGAGAAAAGTTCAACTTTTGAAGCTTCGACGGAAGCGTCAGCCAATCCAATCATATGCCAGTACAAGCTCTAGCCAATCAAACCGCGTGCTTGTGTGTCCGGGCGGGAGATTCATGTGATTAGTTGTTGGTCAAGTTTCAGACACGCCCACCGGCAAGCTTCAACGCACGTGTGGACGCTGCGCAACAGTTAATGTGCTAGAATACAAATATAACGAGCACAAGAAAGGTTTCTCCCTTAAGATGAATGAGTGTTGTTGACTGCATTTCTTTATTGGTAGTTGTAGTTTAAAGCGACCATTATTCAATTCGCTCTCTTTGTGGATTCCTCTCGTACATCTCATAGGCAAACTCCTCAGTGTGAGCATAATCTTTAGAGACGGCAACAAAGTCAACCTCCAACTGAAAGTGTCCGTCTGCTTTATCTCCCAACGTAAATCCAATGGTGTTCACCTGTCAATACAGATGAAGTATACAGGTCAGCAGTTACTGGGGAAAGAATATCCCTTTCTCCACAACTGTCGTAGCTTCATTTATTTATTATTTTATGTTTGCGATTTTCTCTGCTTTACCTTATCCCAGAGAGGATGCTGGGTGTCATGTATTCTCCCGCGGTGTGATAGGAAGAACTTGGAGAAAGGAATCTGAAATGGATCAGATGAAAGTGTTAGAATAACTGCTCACATTTCATATAAAACAAACAAAAAGCCTGGTCTGCAAAAGCTGAAATCCCTGTGGGCTCTGGTTTCAGACAGAGGGTGAAAAGAGGTGCTGCAGCACAGCCAGTATGAGAAACATAAAGAGCTTTTTGAACATTAAAGCATGGAGACATGTCCCAGTCGAGACACTACATACTGATATACACCTGAACATCAGCAGGAGAGGACTCTTTAAAGTAGAGTCACTACATACTGATATACACCTGAACATCAGCAGGAGAGGACTCTTTAAAGTAGAGACACTACATACTGATATACACCTGAACATCAGCAGGAGAGGACTCTTTAAAGTAGAGACACTACATACTGATATACACCTGAACATCAGCAGGAGAGGACTCTTTAAAGTAGAGACACTACATACTGATATACACCTGAACATCAGCAGGAGAGGACTCTTTAAAGTAGAGACGCTACATACTGATATACACCTGAACATCAGCAGGAGAGGACTCTTTAAAGTAGAGACACTACATACTGATATACACCTGAACATCAGCAGGAGAGGACTCTTTAAAGTAGAAACACTAAATACTGATATACACCTGAACATCAGCAGGAGAGGACTCTTTAAAGTAGAGACACTACATACTGATATACACCTGAACATCAGCAGGAGAGGACTCTTTAAAGTAGAGACACTACATACTGATATACACCTGAACATCAGCAGGAGAGGACTCTTTAAAGTAGAGACACTAAATACTGATATACACCTGAACATCAGCAGGAGAGGACTCTTTAAAGTAGAGACACTACATACTGATATACACCTGAACATCAGCAGGAGAGGACTCTTTAAAGTAGAGACACTACACTGATTACACCTGAACATCAGCAGGAGAGGACTCTTTAAAGTAGAGACACTACATACTGAATACACCTGAACATCACAGGAGAGGACTCTTTAAAGTAGAGACACTACATACTGATATACGCCTGAACATCAGCAGGAGGACTCTTTAAAGTAGAGACACTACATACTGATATACACCTGAACATCAGCAGGAGAGGACTCTTTAAAGTAGAGACACTACATACTGATACACACCTGAACATCAGCAGGAGAGGACTCTTTAAAGTAGAGACACTACATACTGATATACACCTGAACATCAGCAGGAGAGGACTCTTTAAAGTAGAGACACTACATACTGATAACACCTGAACATCAGCAGGAGAGGACTCTTTAAAGTAGAGACACTACATACTGATATACGCCTGAACATCAGCAGGAGAGGACTCTTTAAAGTAGAGACACTACATACTGATATACACCTGAACATCAGCAGGAGAGGACTCTTTAAAGTAGAGACACTACACACTGATATACACCTGAACATCAGCAGGAGAGGACTCTTTAAAGTAGAGACACTACATACTGATATACACCTGAACATCAGCAGGAGAGGACTCTTTAAAGTAGAGACACTACACACTGATATACACCTGAACATCAGCAGGAGAGGACTCTTTAAAGTAGAGACACTACATACTGATATACACCTGAACATCAGCAGGAGAGGACTCTTTAAAGTAGAGACACTACATACTGATTACACCTGAACATCAGCAGGAGAGGACTCTTTAAAGTAGAGACACTACATACTGATATACACCTGAACATCAGCAGGAGAGGACTCTTTAAAGTAGAGACACTACATACTGATATACACCTGAATATCAGCAGGAGAGGACTCTTTAAAGTAGAGACATACATACTGATATCACCTGAACATCAGCAGGAGAGGACTCTTTAAAGTAGAGACACTACATACTGATATACACCTGAACATCAGCAGGAGAGGACTCTTTGAAGTAGAGACACTACATACTGATATACACCTGAACATCAGCAGGAGAGGACTCTTTAAAGTAGAGACACTACATACTGATATACACCTGAACATCAGCAGGAGAGGACTCTTTAAAGTAGAGACACTACATACTGATACACACCTGGATATCAGCAGGAGAGGACTCTTTAAAGTAGCATTTCCTAAAAAGTTTTAATAATATCCCATAATTTTGAATCAATAAAGCACATTTAACCGTCTTCTAAAAATCACTTGACTTCCTGCCAGTAGGGCCCCCCCTGGTGTACAGGAAGTAGTTGTAGATGTCGTCTTTCTGATGAGAGAAGTACGTCTCCGTGGCGATGTTGATCATCCACGGCCGGCCGTCTCCCCTCACTCGGAGATGCAGGGTGTTGAAGCTGGACCAGTCATAGTGCTTCTTCCTGTTAAATGAAGCCTAGGAGAGACGGAAAGGGAAGCTGTTTTAAGAGCTGACACCAATATTCATTTAGGAAAAGTGGAGAATGCACAGGATTTAAGTGTGGGCCAAATACAAACGTATGATAAACCAGAGAGTAGGGACAAGTCCGTGTTGGAAATAAATAATAATGAAATTAGCAGCTTGTATTTATTTGTATAATTATCTGTTAACATGGCAAATAAATGAAATAATATAGATAAATTGTTGAAGGTGTTTCAGGAGTTGTTAGAGTTAATTTTGTAACGGCTTTGTATTTTTAAACCAATTAAATACCTCTCTTTGTAAGACGGTAAAAAGAGTGTAAGGTCAAAACAGAGAGGAAGACCCCCCAAATAATTAAAATAAAAACATATCATTTTTTTTAATTTAAATCTATAAAGTCACGCTGAATATTTCAAGGAAAAAAATTCCAGATAAAAATCCATCTTCATATGAAAAAAAACTAGCAAAAAAGATAAATAAAAGTAGTTAATTTTACTTTAATAACATGTTAACAAATGTTATTTCCAAAGACGCCTCCTCCATAGCCAAGATTACAATTCTGTTAAATCTATTCTAGTAGACCTCAACAATGAAATATGAACAGTAGAAATGGCCGTGACATGGGACCTTTAAGTCTCTATAATTGCATCTAAAATGTTGCTAAAAATGAAAGCTGCAAGTTTACAGAATTCCTTTATAGAAAATGCGATGACAGTATTGTTTCATTTCAACTGTCAGGATTTTGTATGAACCCTGTGAGCTGTAAAATAAAAAATCCAGAAAATAGTGGCAGTAATTATTAATGAATGAATACTGTTACAGTATTGATTAAAAAATTATACATGATGCATACACGTTAGCAGGGCGGCGGGTGCTGTAGGCTAGGGAAGGCTAAGCCTTCCCAATATTTTTGTTACTGTACTGCACCTGGTAAAATATATGTATAATGTTTGTGTCTTTGACATTAGCGCTGCTATGCAGCCACCTGTGCCCTGTACTACGAAGCTAGTTCAACAGACCCTGGATATGTTTTGAGTTATTAACTTAACTAACCCACAAGATCTCGCTAAGCGGTCCTACGACGCTATTATCAACTCGGTAATCAAGCCAGGGTTTCTCTCTCCAGCTGAGAACGCGTTCATGTGAAA